GTCATAACTTTTTATATTCAGAAAAGGTAGACTGGTCTTATTTTTATTGGAAAAGTAAGACTGATAAGCACTTGGCAACTGCTAGTAAGTTTTGTGTAGTATTTTCTTTACTCTTTAACAAACTATGTCTAAAAAGGGTAATATTTTATGTATTTGATGTCTGACATGTAGGAACAGTGAAGAGAGAGAGGGCAAACATTTAGCATTTTATCAGCCAATGTTGTCTTAAATAGCCTGCATAGCATTTCATCTTTTATGACATGGGGTTCCCTTTCAAGGGAACTTCGAACTGCGTCCTCTAGGGGTCACTATGGGGAACGCCTCGTCGTGACCCGTGTCTGAAGCATACATTGAAAAAACACCAACAACACGTTGGCCGGCGACAGCCATGACGTCACTACCGGTGCGACTATAGTATAAATAGGCGCCGGGAGAATCATCCTCTTCTTTGTCTTCATTGACTGTTTTGTTTGAAGCGTGCATTTCTGTGGTAAGAGCGATCTCTGTTCATATCATTATGGCGAGCAGTAGCAAAGCGTTTAGAGGATGTCTGCATCCGTGTTGTCATTATTTAACATCTGATGACAAACACGATCTATGCGTTGTTTGTTTGGGCGAAGAGCACGCACGCGATGTCTTCGAGGGGGCAATCTGCGTGCACCGCGATCGTTTTCCAGTGAAAAAGCTTTGCTCTCGTTTGTCTCTCTTTTCGAGGAAAGAGGGGCAGCCATCTGCTTCCCGCGATTCAGGACCCACCGCTGCTGAGGCACAGAGAAGAATGAGCTTGTGGGGATCGCAGGTGGATCTGGCTGATGAGTTTAAAGAGGGGTTTTCCCTCTCGCGATCGTCAGCTGTGGACGAGAGTGAGACGCTGGAGGATGATGTTATTTCATTAACATCGTCTGAACCAGGGGCCAGTGCTCTGTTGATTTCAGCCCAGGAAGAGCTGGAAATGTCTGAGGAGGGCGAAGAAGCTGAGGCTGAGCCTTCCCAATCCTCCTGCCCTGCGTATGATGAGTGTTGGAAGTTATGGATCGCGCCACGGCGAGGCTTGACTTGCTGTGGAAGCGGGCCAAGAAAGTGACGTCGCGAAGTCGTCTCGATGAGCGTTATCTTTTTGGCCGTAACCCTCCAGCTCAGGTGAGCCTTCCTTTCTTCCTGATCTCCATACAGAGATCGAGAAGGAATGGAAGAGGCCGTTTTCTTCACGCATCCATCGATTCTAACATACGAGTTATGCCAACATCGAGGCGATGCGCGAATAAACGGCTATGAGAATATGCCCCTATAGAGAGAGACGCTGGCCAGCTATCTTTCTATGGGTGAGACATACTCTCTTAAGACTCCCTCCTTGCCATCTAAGCCTCTCCAGGATACATCTCGCTTGAATGGCAGGGCATACGCAGCAGCAGCAGGTAGGACTGTCGCTTCATTGCACATGATGGTGCTGCTCCAGGCATATCAGGCTGACCTGCTGAAAGACCTGGATAAAGGCGAGGGCCTTTCTCCTGAGCCCGAACAACCCAGGGGTCCTGGCCCGTCTCGGTTTGAGGATCAGAGACGGGCACAGAAGGCTAGTGTCGCGGC